CTCTGACAGATCCTGGACTCAGAGCTCTTTGAACTGATGCATCAGAATGGAGACTACACTCACTTCTACTTCTGCTACCGCTGGTTCCTGCTGGATTTCAAACGAGGTACAAACATCAAACTGGGGCCTTGTTCCCAGACTCTTTGTAGCAGAACCTCAGGGAAAAGATACTACAGAGCAAAAGCTAGTGTAAGAGAGCAGTACCTACTTACTGAATTCTCATTATCAGTTCACCTACCTTGTCCTGCAGTGACACCATGCAGTGGTAGTATTGCAGTCCCATTGTACAGATGAGGAAACCGAGACTGAGAAAATAAAGCTAGTGTAAGAGAGCAGTACCTACTTATTGAATTCTCATTATCAGTTCACCTACCTTATCTTGCAGTGACACCATGCAGTAGTAGTATTGCAGTCCCCATTGTACAGATGAGGAAACCGAGACTGAGAAAACTTGAGCTCCGAGCTGGGAGGAATAGAGCCATTTCCCTTCCATTCTATGATGCTGCTTATCAGAGACCAAGAACTCTGAAGCCTCTGGAGCATGTTTCACATGGGACTTATATATTATGGAGAACACAGTACATTGCTAAGGCGCTAATTTGAAATGATACTAAGAATAACATCTAACACATACGGAGGTGTTCATTAAGTGCCAGGCACTGTGCTGAGCCATTTCTGGGTATTATCTTGTTAGTCTTTTACTACCGTCACCATCACCCCACTTAGAGATGAGGAAAGAGAGTATCTAGCCCAAGGTCACCTTGATGGAGCTAGAATTCAGACTGAGTTTATTGGGCATAGAAAGTCTTGCTCTCTTCTTTTTCTTTTTAAATGACATTTATTGGGGTTACATACTAACATTATGTAAATTTTAGGTATACAAAGCCTTGCTCTTAACCATTGCTCTATTCTAGCTCTTCACTAGACCCAGATGCAGCAACCAATTCTGAGTACAGGGGAGAGGGGAGATACACCCCCCATGGGTGCTAGAAGAGATTGGAGGGTACAGGAAGAAAGGAGGAGACTGGTCAAGGGGTAGAACCAGGATAGGTTAGTGTCAGTCAAACTGCATAATTCTTCCACTTGCAGAATGTCAGAGTTGGAAACTTATAACCCACCTTATTTGTTAGCCCATTCTACAGATGGGGAAAACTGAGGCTTTTGATGGTCAAATGGCAGAGTCCCGGTCTCCTAGCTCCTGGCTTGAGCTCTGCTGCACCAGGACAGAAGCTCAGAGCACAGCTGGCCTGGGATTTTTCCAGAGGGTGGGCAGTACCATGAGCCCTGTGGCTGACTCTCTCCCCATATGTGTGTGCGTTGGTGTCTGTCTCGGCAGAACTTGTCTACGATGATGTCTTCTCTGTCTGGGAGACCATTTGGGCAGCCAAACACGTCTCATCCACCCACTACGTCCTGTTCATCGCGTTGGCTCTGGTGGAGGTCTACCGTGACATCATCTTAGAGAACAACATGGATTTCACAGACATCATCAAGTTCTTTAACGGTACCCACATGACCGGGGTCTCATCTGAGGGGTGCAGGCTTCTAGAGGGCCCCTGCCTGGGGCCTTGGGAGGGACGGAAATTTACTGAGATTGACACACAGGAGGGGCTGGAGGGGCTTCTGCCCACTTCTCGTGTCTTCCCAATGGATGAGACGACCTCCTGTAATGCTGAGGATATGTCTTCCCCTGGGATCTGGCAGAAGGAGCATGGGTGTTGAAATCAAACTCGGGGCAAACCCTGGCTCTGCCACTAGCCAGCTGCGCCCATGGACAAGTCACTTTGCTCTCTAAACATCTGCTTTCTCATCTGTGAAATGGGGTGGCAGTGTCTGCTTCAGAGGGTTGGTGTGTGTAGGAAAAGCAAGCAAAGGAAGGCAGTGGACGCGAATAAAAAGGGCATAGCTTTGGAAATCAGAACAGATGTGAGTTCTGATCCCAGCTCTGCCACTCAGGAGTTGGGGGACCTTAGGCAAATGGCTTCTTGTCTCTGGGCCTCAGATCCTGGAGGATGAAAATGGTGCTAGACCTTAATCACAGAGTCAGGAGAGCATGATAGCTAATCCATCTGAGGGGCCCATAGCAGGAAGCTGTTGGTACTGTTTTTACTACTTATAACATTTTTTTTTAACCAAAGAAGGTTTTGGAAAAAGCAAAAGGAGAAAAAAAAGCCATCTGTGACCTTCCCCTGGAAACATCATTATTTTATTTTAGAATAATTGTAGATTTACAGAAAAGTTGCAAAGCGAGTACCAAGTGTTCCTGATGCCCTTACCCGGCTACCCCTAGTGCTAATAAGTCCAGTTACTGATGGGGGGTGTGTACCCGCTGGACTTGGCCCGCCTTCTCAAGCCTTGGAATTCGGTTGACACCACCACCTTCATTCCCTGTGATTTTCATCCGCTTTCTGCAAACCTAGCTGTGCAAAGCTATAAAGTCATCGACAGGAATACAATGTAGTTAGTGAACTCACTCTAGTGTGCAATAGATGTGGCCTATTGCGGTGTTTCCCTCTAAATTTTTCTGGGTTCACAGTGGTGCTCTCAGGTACCTCGGCACCCAGTTCGGGAACCAGGGTCTTACTGCCTTTTTCCTCTGCTAAATGACTTCCTTATGATATATGTCTAAGTTTATGATTATTCTGCCTTAAAGGTTTGACCATTTTGTGTGGCTCTTGATAACTTTATTTATTTTTCTTTTTTTGGGGGGGGGGGTTGGTAATTTATTCTTAATTACAAATATAATCCAGTCATAAGTTAGCCTAACTCTTGAACACAAATTAAGTTCATCATTGCCTTTTCAGACACCATGAAAAAATTGGAATTAAGATTGTCCCAAAATATATTGAATATAATTATCATTTAGATTCTTTTTGTTCAGGTAACTCTCATTGCTATTATCAAAGCATTATATATTTTTTTTAATTTTATTTTTTATTACAAAGGGTATTACATATGTGTCCATTTTTTTCCATCTTTCCCTCCCCCTTCTTTTGTTTCCTTCCCCTGACACTTCTAAGCATCTACTGTGTGCCCAGCATTGCTTTCTTAAAAAAAGTTCCCAGGCACTGTATTTGTAGGAAGGGGATGGGAAGACCTAACATTTTTAAGCATGCACTGAACCAGCGTCATCTCACTTGATCTCACAGTAACCTAGTGTGAAGCAGGTACTGTTACAGTCCCCATTTTACAGATGAGGAAACTGAGGTCCAGAGGTGCCTCAGGACTTCCCCACGGTCTCTGCTTCCAGATCCCTCTGGGGCTGAAGTCAGAGGACAATGATGGGAACACCCCAGAGACCCTTCCAGGTGCTGGAGGTGTGTCCCGAGGATGGACACAGAGGGAGGCTCACGAGCTGTCCCCTTCTGCTCTTTCAGAAATGGCTGAGCGACACAACACCAAGCAGATCCTGAAGCTGGCCCGGGACCTCGTGTACAAGGTGCAGACTCTGATTGAGAACAAGTGAGGGCCGCCTCACCCAGGCAGCCTCAGCCAAGCTGCCACCTGCCTGTCGTGCCCACTTTGCCTCCCAGCCACCTGGGAGCGAGGTCCTGGTGTCTGTCTGTGAGCATGGACTTCTGTGCAAAGAGAAACTGGCCCGACTTTGGCCGCCGGGCAGGTGGGGTCGAGGGCTCGCCCCTTGAGTTCAGCCTTACGTTTTCCTGTTTGACCAAAGATCGCCCATGTCTGGGATTTCTCCTTGCGGGAACTGTCGGTGGATGGAGGGAACGTCTTTGTTCAAGGCCTCCAGGCGTCTTCTCTGTTCTTCTCTCCCCATCCCTCCAGACTGTCTTGTCAGATGAGACGTGGGATGGGATTGTTTTGGAAGTTGGTTTAGGAGTCTGTGGGGTGCCCTCTGTACTCTGGAAGGGGCCTTTGCAGATGTTCCAGAACAGCTGGAAGACCAGCTGGCCGCAAGGTTTTTGCACTTAGCACTGTTGACATTTGGACTGGGTCATCATTTTTGGGGGGCGGGGGGCGGGCGGGTGTTCTGCACATTGAAGGATGTTGAGCAGCATCCCTGGCCTCTACCCACCAGATGCTAGTAGTACCTTCGTCCCCACCCCATTGTGACAACCCAGAATGTCCCCGGATATTGCCAAATGTCCCCACTGGCTTAGAGGAGGGGCTACCAATGTATCTCCCAACCGGTTCTCTTTCTACCTAAGCTGCCCGTGTCCTGAGGCCCCCTTCCGTTTAGGAAAGGCACGCAAGAGGCCTCGCACGTCTCCCCTTGAGGGGTGAGATTCCGTCTGCTGTATTCTCTCGTTTTTCTCCTCCACCTGACTCTGGGAGAGACTTCTTTTCAAGAAGGGAGTCTTCCTGCGGGGCAGTGGGATCCCAGAAGTGTCTGCAGGTGGGAGACAGTCCGGGGCTCTTCTGGGTTTCACCCAGAGCACCCTGTGATCCCCCCAGGAAAGACTGCCTCTCCTTCCACACATGGGTCTGGTGCTCCAGGAGCTTGGAATGTGTGTGTTGGTGCAGCTGTTCCCCAAGTGCCCTTGCTCACTCAGGACGAAGGAAGAGGAAGACAGAGGGCAGCCAGGGTGATGTGTGTGTTTTCCACGGTGGCTCAGTCCGGAAATGGTCCCCCCCCATGTCTTCTCTCAAAGGGTCGCCAGTCCACAAACAGATCCTGAGTTCGGTGGCTCAGCTGCCCCCTGTCCTCCAGGAAAGTGGTCCCTCTGTTCTGATAATGCACCAGAATCGGGGGAACAGAGTCGGGGAACTGCTCTCCCCAAGAATGGCAGGTCGGGTTTTGGAGATGGCAGGAGACACGTAGCACATTGAAGCATTGACACGGGGTGCTTGGTCCTCCCACCCTGAGCAAACCAGGACCGGAGAAGTTCCTGCCCTGCGTGTGGGGAAGCTCTTCCCTCGGTCACAGCGCCTCCATCTGCATCTGAGTCCCCACCTGCCCCTAGTGGGGCTTCCTGGGAGGGACAGACAAGACCCAGAGGGCCCTTGCTTCCGAAGAGCGATCATCCTCTCACTCTGGTTCCCCAGTTTCCTTGGATGGGAAAAATGTGCGAAAGGCCCCCCCTGAGAAGAGTGCATTCTGCCACATAGCTGCTCCTAGCAGGGGATGTTTCGTTAGCACAACCCAGGGCCCTAGACCCTCTGGTTCTTAACTTATTTTTTGACGGAGTAGTCACACAGCACAGCACAAGATTTCCTCTCTGCCTTCTCTCGTGGTGTCCTGGGACACGTCGTGGTTGTGGCTTGGACTAACTGCTCTCTGTTCAGCTCTCTGCTTCTTCAGGTGTCCGTGAGCTGCCTTGTCGTCGTGTCCTAGAGTTGCGTGTGTGGGAGTCGTTCTGTCTGCCGCGTGCCCTCCTTTCTCAGTGTTACCAGCACATCTTGTAACTGTTTACTGAAGAGTTGTGTCTATATAGAGAGAAAACATATATAAACCAAGAGGTGTGTGAATCTGAGTTGTTTTGTTTCTGTGTTTGGGGGAATTTTTTTTAACTTGAAAGAAATGTTTGTTTCTGAAGACTCCGTCCTCCCGCCGCAGTGGCTCACATCCCCAATGGACACAAAAGTTCAAGGCAGGTGAATCACTTCTCATTCTTGTATCTTAGCTGTTCCCACGAGTAATGCTGCAGAACAGACCACCTCAAGTCTAGTGGCTTAAAGTGGACATTTATTTAGCTTGTGACTCTGTGTCAGCAAAGTGGGCTGTGTTCAGCTGGGAGGTTCTTCTGGTCTCAGATGGACTTCATGGGCTGGCTGTTGGCAGGACAGGGGGGCACCGAGCCCTGTGTCTCATGTCCTCCAGCTGGCTCGCTCAGGCTTGTTTACATGGCCATGGCAGCACTTCCAAGACAGTGAGCAGAAGCGTGCAAGGCCTCTGGAGACCGAGGCTCAAGATTGGCATCAGGTCATTTCCACCATATTCTCTTGGTCAGAATAAGTCACATGGCTGAGCTCAGACTCAGAGAATGGGGAGGTAGACTCCACCACTCCATGGGAGACTTTGGAAAATGACATTAAAAGGGGTTTGGGCCTGACTGGCATGGCTCAGTGGTTGAGCATCGACCTATGAACCAGGAGGTCATGGTTCAATTCCCAGTCAGGGCACATGCCCAGGTTGTGGGCTCAATCCCCAGTTTGGGACATGCAGGAGGCAGCTGATAATTGATTCTCTCATCATCGATGCTTCCAGCTCTCCCTCTCCCTTCCTCTCTGAAATCAATATATATATATATGGCTGTGGATACAGGTGGGGAAATGATTGACGCCACTTTGCAAACAGTGTACTGTGTAGCCCAAGGTCCATGCACAAGAGTCGTTCCCAGGTGGGGATGATTTCTGGGTTATGACCCCAGTTTCCCTGAGTTCCCATCATAACAACCGGATAAGGTTGGCAATATTTCACACATCGCCATTTTACAGAAAAATACAGTGAGGTCCAGAGAGGTGAAGTGGCTTGCCTCAGGTCACAAGGAAGTGGTAGAGGTGGCATTTGAACCTAGGTACGTGGTGATTTCATATAGCTGTAAAATGGGTTCTTTTCACTCCTGAGAAAGTTTTATTTCCTCACTTCTGGCATAAGGATGATTTTCTCAGTGTCGCTGGAGAAGCGGATGGTCCTCCCCTGTACCTTGGTCGTGCGGGGCCACCTGATGACGGCCAGGATGCTGGCCAGGACTGCGTTGAGGATGGCGGTCACATAGCCCCAGCCCAGCTGGCACTGTCCACTGTGGTACACAGAGGAGGCTCCACAGGCCTCCTTGGCAAATGGGGAGGCCAGGCCGATAGGGAAAGCCAGCAGGCCCACAACGGTGGTGGTGGCTGGAGACAGCAAAGAAGAAAGCCAGTGTGTCAGGGGCTCTGGGCTAACCTTCCCCGACTCCCTCACTCATCCACCCTCCTGTCCACTCGTCCATCCATCCACCCATTCATCCATTCATTCACTAATTTATCAGCCTGTCTATCCCTAAAATTTTTTTATTAAAATATAGTTGGCATCCAATATAATATTAGTTTCAGTTGTACAAACTGAAACAGAATGATTGGACATTTATATACCTTACAATGTGATCACCACAATAAGTCTAGTAACGGTCTGTCACCATGCAAAGTTAATATCATAATAGCACATCTTTCCTTTTATCCACCCATCACTGAACTATCCTTGTGCCCATTTGTCCATCTACTCATCCATCCATTCAACCATATTCTAATTCATTCATTCTATCCATCCCTCTATCTGTCTATCCATTCACTCATCCAAACATCTATCCACCTGCCCACTTAGCCACCTGCCCCCTGCATCCATCCATCCATCCATCTATCCATCTATCTCCACCTTCCATTCATATTCCAATCTACCCATTCATCCTTATCCATTCATCTACTAAGACATCCATTGTCCACTTATCAATTCATCCATCCACTTCCCCACCCACC